CCTTTGTACGGTCACATCATCTTTTGTGACCCACCCTTTCATACGAGGGTAAGTGTAACCCCGTTACAACGGCAGTGGTAAAATTACTGGTTAGGCATATTCAGATGCTGAATTGAGTAGCAATACCGATGACAATCGCTCGTTTTCAGGAGTTACGATCATTATTGCAGGAGCGCCAGTGTTGTTCAAGCCCAAGTACCAGCGAATCATTGCAATTAGCTCGGCGGAGGCTAAGAATATGGCTCTCAGCTCTCGCACTGAAGACGTTCTTTGGACGAGGGCGATACTTAGGACATGGGTCACGAGCAAGTTGAGGTTGCACAATTTTACGAAGACAACTGAGGTTCGATTGCTTTAGCCAACAACGCCGGATACCACGTTCGGATGAAGCATGTGAACAGTAGGCAGCACTTCATACGCGAGGATGTGACAGAGAGAATTTTGACAATCGACTACATTGACACGAAGCGTCAGCTTTTAGGTATACTGACAAGCGCACTCGGAACGCTGATTTTTTGATTTATACGCGAGTCATCGGTTGTCAATATTAAGTCAATGCCGAGGATCAACAAGTATTAATGGCGAGTGGGGGTGTTGAGACGACACCACTCAATACTTTTGAAGAACGATATCGCAGCTATAAGTATATTTTACATGCATAAGTATTACATTTGTTGGTGTCGAAAGCAAGCTCAGCATAGTCAAGTAAATAAGGTGTGGTGGCTTTACTTTCATGATGGAGGGTTGAAATCCCCTTAATGACAAGAACTATTCTATCGATGTTTAGGATTCATTGTGGGGTACCTAGCCAGTATCCACGCTCCTCGTCCTTTTTAATGGTTTACTGACCAGATCGCATTACAGGTGAGTAATTTGGTAAAGCTGTGGTAACATTAGGACAGGAAAGACATGGAGCATAATAAACTTTTCGCTTCGGGTTTTAACATCATATCAACGATACCAGACCATGCTGGAGCATGCCATGCTGAGGTTGCGTCCCGAATAACATAAAAGCGGTGATGTATAAGTCGGTAAAAACGTAATAGATCATACTACTCTGACGGTTGTATTAACATCAAAATTAAGAAACACAAGCTTCAAGACGTATACAAATTTTGGTATATTTTAACGTAGGATTGTCATCATCTACATTCAAGCTATTTGTGAGCTCATACCTAGATTATTAAGCGGTCGAACAAAACGCTTGTCTTGTATTTTTTACGATAAAGTTGGAGAGATGCCATGCCTATCGAAGAAGAAGATAAGCTATAGCTATAAGAAACGTTGCATCAGCGCACAATAAATTTTTATAGGTGATGACTTCATGTTGCTAATTATTGCGCGTCTGCTTACTTAAAGCTACACAATGGACTCTTTGGGTTCAGCTTTGGCACATTGGTGCATCAAAACTCACCCATGTAGGGCTAGATAAAAAGTGTAGTGTCTGGTTTCTTACGGACCACATATCATGCGACCACCTATTACGTGCGCAATAATGATCGTGCCTGATATGGTCTAGATAAAATGCTGCTCGTATTGCTTACCGATAGAGCAAAGTTGAATACTTTCTGCTACAAGTATAGCATCGGTGTGTTTATTAAAAAACCTCCAAGGTAACTAGACTGTGTTGAAGCGTAGTCTGCTCGGAGATGTCACGAAGACCGTAGGAGAATATACAGGGGTGTGGGGTTGAACTGCACCCACATGAAGCTTCCATGTGCGGCTGATGTAGCTCTAAATGTTTACGTCGCTTTGAAAGCGGACCGGACCGCCATTTAGCAGCGCAAGTGCCGTTCTCAATGCCCATCGGATTATTATTCGCCTTGTCTAGTATTCTGTACTTGATGTCCTTAACACGAGGCACTAACTTACACTGAGTGTTAAGTTACTGCAGATGGTAAGCCTTGAGCTGGCAAATATGCATCGGAGCGTTTTGGGATAAAGCGGCATATGAGATCCCAACTCGTTGCTATTCAATGTGTTTAGCAGCGCAAGAAATGTTGCCTTTAACCTGTACGCTGTATTTCGCCTTATCACTAACTATTGACGTCACTATTGTGACAAGCGAGAAATTTTAGTCGGAGTGGTGCAAACAGCGTCTGCCGCTACTTTTGGCAGGCTTGCCTCATAACTTACCTCTATACATACTCTGCAAAGAAGGATAGCCATCTTTTGATTCTATGTGAGGGATGTGGCGCTGTGCGCGAGGACGCTTGCTCAGTGTAGATAAGAGACGGCTTCTATCTAGGCCAGCAGGCGAATCCCGAACAGCCAGACTCGCACGTTGATCAGCTGGAGTCGTTTACAGAGGTATACTATATATCAAGTAGCTCCTGGTCATGAACAGATTACTTTCTTATGCTGTTTTAAGTTGGAGAGAGTCAAACGTGAGTACAAGTTTATGCGCATCGACATCAGCTTGGAGTAGTGCACATCCTGTAACAAGTATGATGCGTCACAGCTATGTTGGAACGGCAGAAAGGCACACATGAAGATTTCATTCCCAATCTTGGTAACTACTTTTCTTGCCGCACCCAAGCACCTTGAATTTCTGATACGTAGTTGGTGGAGTGCCGAGCCATATTTGCTAATTTTGTGAAATAATTGTGTTGAGCGTTTGTCACACTAAGCCACATCATCAAATCACTTAGTTTTAGAAGCATTTTCCAATCTCCGATGGCCGCGATTTGTATACCATTAAAGATTACATCGCCCACCCGAAAGACACGCGTGTCTTTACTAGGGAATGACGTAGTCAACAGATACACTCGAGCACCACTCTTAAGCTTTCATTCTACATTCGACTTCACGTGCTCTACGCGACGACAGACACATAAATCGTCGAATCCAGATTGTGCGTTGCTACGATATGGTCTGATCATCTGCGTCACCAGACCATCAAGATTACTGGTGCATTAAGACAGTCCCTGTGGCATAAGCCACCACGCCCAGAGCACACTCCTCAATATTGAAAAAGTAATATTGTCTCTCATCAGCAGTTGATAATAATTATCAACTATGTCAAAGACACAGAATTGATTACAACTAAACAAGCTTTCCTGTTGCTGATTTTTTGTGGGAGTAGGCGTTTAGTCCGGGAGAGTGGTTTCATGAAGTATATTATAAACATGCACAATCTGACATTTGCAGCTGACCTTTGCAGCGCAGACAGCCGGTACCGAATGGCGCACTGATTTATTCACCAGACCCGCTTCTTGTTTCGCACGGAAGAGAGCGTCCACGTCAACACACTTTTGCTCAGTTAGGTATGACGCGGGATAAGGCTTCGGGAACCAGGTCAAAATTGTGACATTCCCCGATTTGGGGGCAGCACGCCATGCAGCTTCACCACGTCCCTATTATCCTTCAACAAGGTTGAAATGGAATCCATGTATCCTTAGGGAGAGCTGTCATACTCCTCGCACTTAATGCTCTGCGAGTGTTTTCAGTGACGGACCATGCATGATGACGGATCAGTTTTACTTCCCCTACGGTACATTTTGGTGGCAGCACCAATTTGCGCTTCCATATCACTATCTTCTAGGAATGAAACTACAAGCTCAAGTGCTGACAGAGGTAGCGAGCTTTACAACTTTTCCCTGTAACTCTGTCTTTGAGTAGCAAATCATTCTCTTCTCAATCACATGGACCTTTATTGCTCCGCACGGTGGGCACATCACACGGTGGCGTTGTACCGTTAGATCGTGACCAGGATGATTTATCCTTTCTAAATTAGTTTCTGGCCCGTCTACTCGCGACTTTGAATTACCCGTCGCCATCGACCAAGGTACGGGAGGATGCGACACCTGTCCACTTCAGCTTTCGATTGGCCTTGGCACACGAGACAACAGCTCACTGCTCTTCGTCACCATCATTCCAGAGGCTAAGGACCGAGACATACAATTGTTCATTTCCGTCGTAACCAGCGTACTTGTATGAAGAGAATGCGATAGAAGTCTCATTTTCCAACCACTATAAGACCGCGGCTCACTGCTTCTGGTCTAGGAGCTCTGCTGGAGGCGATTAAGAAAAATCATTGCTATCAACTTTAAAGCAGAACCATGGTTTTTGTGCCTGTATTAAAAATGTGTCTACTTCTGGTAGAGATGCGTTCAAGCTATACTCAAAGCGAAGTGCGTAGCACCTAGTGCATAAACCCTAGTTCGTGGCGTTTCAGCTACGACATTCTTCTTTTCTCGAAAGTAGTTTTATGGCAAGATAAAATGTCACGCTGTCAACGTCCACATAGTTTCTCAAACAGTCTGACTTATACTATGTTGTCACACAGTCACTAGTTTCTTTACGAGTGTTACGAAAATGGTATCAATATTCGACACCTTTGATGCCACTGCAAAATATTTACTGTTTTCAACAGTCGCGCATCGGGCATCGTTGACGACGCTTTTAATCTATCAGGATGGGTCCAATCATGTTTAATAAAGCTCGGGATACTGTTATCAATAGCTAAAGTCATTGCGTTGTTCATCAAAATCAATTACTTCATCTTCTATTGGCCACGACTTTCGCGGCGTACACTAAAATCTAGTTATGTCTCCGTGCGTCGTTCAGCTATTATTTACCCGCGAGAAGTTCGTTGGCCTCCCTCGTGTGGGAGCTCGATATGCCTCTCAGGCGAGAGCGAAGGAGATGCACAAGAGAAATATGTTAATCTTTGTACCACAGCCGATTTTGATGGGCAACAAAAAGTAGCGAGTGAACGTACCAGACTATGCGCTTATGTAGCATGACTCATCCTTGTCACGATGTGACGATTCTGCTTAATCATCACTACGTGTGAAGGGCTCTTCGTGCGAGGAAAGGAGCATTCTTGAAGAAGGATGAGAGCGATTATTATTGTGCGTGCAATGATTAGGGCGGAAGGTCTTTCCCTCACTACCTTCGCCAGAAGCTTTAATAGAGCGGGAACCAATATCTTTCTAAGATATGTACAGGAAAGCAATACAAAAGACCCACCAAACGTGTTGCTTTCGGATCAAGTGGTGAGTCATGTCACACACTGCATTTGAATTTACAACATACCTCCTGCCACCTGCTTTGAGCCTTACTGATACAGAAAGTCGGAGCCGAGTAATGAAATTGACTATCTCTTACTTCAGCCTCTTCGTGATTAAATAGCCATGATCTCGGCGCAAACGCCAATTCCTTCAAAAGAAGTTTTGCAAAACATGGCCCGCTGCACTTCATTCAGGTCCTTCAACAAAACAAACGGGAACGACCAGCGGCTGATGAGATAGGACAATAATTCTCTTACTGTAGCAAATACTCCGATGATGTCACATTCTAAGCAAAATCCTTACTAAATTTCAAGCCAAACTCGAGTTTATAGTGTTAAGTGTTTATATAATAATAAACACTGTTATTACTGTGAAGGCAGTTAGTATAGGAAATCTTACCAGCGGCGATTAATTGTCTGGCGACACCGCTCAGGCCACATCGTACCTATGTACAAACCCATTTTCCGCGATATGCTCGTCCATAGTCAAGCAGATTATGGAACGTCCGATGTACAAAATGGACTAGATTACTTACGAGTGTATGTGCTTTAATAAGTCATTTGTCAATAGACTGGTGCCCCTTTGTTTTCTACGAAACTTTCTTTCTGGGATGCCTCATTCGAAAAGCATGACATCCGGGCAGTCTCGCTAAGATAAAGGCCATTAACAATTAAAATGGACATCTATCCCAAAGGAATGATGTATCAGTATGATATGACCAACTGCTTACACAAGAATAGTGTAAACTATGCCGAAAGGGCACGAAGTCTCACCAATCTCTTAGAAATTACGTCAAATGGTATTGTAGAGCGGTAGAAGAGGCGTATACGAGATAGTTCTGATTCTAGCTCTAGATCGGCCATTCCACCTCGTTATTGGCGTCCTGCTCTTGCAATAGGCTGCGCTTTATTCATAGCGAATACAGCGGGCATGGAAGCGCGATTGCGTTTGAGTCCCGCCTGCTGAGAGCAATAAAAAATTAACCTGTTCATGACACGAAATCATTTACAATAAAGTATGCCCTCGTCAGATTCTAGTATCCATGTGTGGGTCTTAGCTGGTCGCGATCCATACCGATCATAAATCCTCGCACACAGCGACATATTTTTCTTACAAACTTGACTAGATTTTTATTCTTCTTTACGGAGTACACCCTGTGGTAAAGATTTTGCAAATGTGATGGTGAATGCGCTTCCGCGGTGCCCGGCTATAAGCTGCCGTGTGGCAGGATGGGATGTCGCTACTCAATCATACGCACAGCGTACGGGTCAGACGCAACACATGCTGCGGCTGACGGATTTAAACTCGAAGACTTTGGCCTCGTTTTGACGAAGTGCTCGGATACACGCCCCCACCGTCTAATTTTTGCTATATCACAACACTGTTCCGCATGACACGCAGCATTGAGTGGGGTCTCACGGTGAGAAACATGAGTACAGAGTAATGTACGGGGTATCTAGCGTCCCATTGGGTCTTCGGCCTGACCTTGCTCCAAGTCAAAGACCCCTCACTAGATGCATAATTTGGATCATGAATATTATCAGGAGTGTAGGATTCAAACCGGAGGTGGTGATTGTCCACCGCGATGCCAATGTAGTACTTTGTGTTTTGCATAATTAAACATAAGCAACGTCATAATTTGAGGTCACCCTTCAAGAGAATGACAAATTGCTCGGAACCATGTATTGATGGTCCGAATGTACATGATGGCAAGCACAAACGTCTCAACAAGTTTAACCCTCACAGAATGCGGTGGTCCCTTTGAATATTCTGCCGATCCTGGCAAAGTGTTAGCGATCCATGATTATCATTAATATATTAGATGTCCCAAAAAATACGCTGGGTCATACCGGTATTGCGGTTCTCTTGTGGGCTGACTGCAAAAGGTGGCTCATCACGCTGCTGCCCAGCAACTCTGACCAGTGATGATACATGAAAGTTTTAACTTGACAAATCGCTCTTGTAAACATGCTTGTTGGTAGCCATTGTATCGGATAAAGATTCGCGCTTTGCAATGAATATTGTTCAATGTGCTCGGCACCATATTGGATTTGTCAACCGCTGACCATCCGCATCCAGATAGTCAGACAGAATGCAGATAAGTCGAATTGTGGAAAGAATTCTCCGAAGCACTTGCGCCAAGAGACCGCGGTGTTAAGGTGAGTTACTCCCACAACAATTTTGCACTGAATAGCGCATTGCATGGCTCCACAGACTTTACCCCATATTACACTAATGGTGTAGTAAAACGCCGGGTGTATTTAAAACCGCCACGTAGTGGCTCCGATCTTAGTCGGGAGAAACGGTTGATCAAATTCAACTTGCTGTAATCTGCCTAACTACACTTTGAAGTACAATCAGTGGGGGTATTTAAATGAGATCGAGCGTCATGTGCAGGGTGAGTGACGCCATGGCTGAGAGCCAGAATATTCACATGCAAGACGTCAATGCCATAAGCAGGCGAAACAAGAATAGGTTGTGGGCAAAATAATTTTTTGAATTTAATCAATCGGCAGGTGCGGGCATTGATTTGATGTGCTTACACATTGCACTTGCACTTGTCCCTCAGCAGAATAGGTACAGACATATTTTATCATGATAATCAATTAAATTTCTATGACTACGCAAAAGATCCCAAGCGTAACACTGCTAGATGGAGGGACAGGTGAAGAATTGTTTGCCCGTGGGCTCGCCGACGATCGCCGCATTTGGTCCGCGATAGCACTTGTACACGAGCAGCACCATAATTTATTACGGGAGGTGCACATGTCGTTCTTGGACGCCGGTGCTGATTGCATCACGAGCAACAATTACGGAGTGACCCCCGGTGTTGGATTTAGTGACGAGGAGATTCAACGATACACGACAATAGCTGGTCGAGTGGCTCGAGAAGCATGTGACCAATGGACAGCAGCGTCCCTGGACCCGATGAGACGAAAACCCAAAGTCTGCGGGTCGCTGCCTCCTTTGCTGGAGAGTTACAGAGCTGACAGGGTGCCCGATCATGAAAGTGGAGTTGAAATGTATACATTGATTGCTCAGACTTTAAACCCTTTTGTCGATTGCTACTTAGCAGAGACATTATCGTCGAGTAGTGAAGCCAAAATGGCATTGCTCGGAGTGCATCGGAGTAGAGATGGTGACAAAAATATGGAAATTATGGTGTCATTCACATTGAATAGTAAGGGACGTCTTCGAAGCGGAGAAGATCTGTGCAATGTATTTGAGAAGTTGATCAGTTTTTCCGCACATTTAACGGGCATAAAGCTGCAGGCGATCCTTTTTAATTGCTCTCAGCCTGAGGCAATTTGTAAGGCACTCAAAGAGCTGCACGAAAATGATCATACGCGTGCAATTTTGCGCGAGCAGGGGGTGCTTTTGGGTGCATATGCTAATCGCCTTACGATCATCCCGGATGATTGGGCTCTCGCGGAGTACAGCGAACCACAAGCCATACGCACAGATTTAGCTGTGGAGAAATATAATACTTTTATCTTGCAATGGATAGAGCTGGGTGTGGAACTTGTGGGAGGTTGCTGTGGTATTGGACCCGAGTATATCGCAAGTATTCACCAAATGCTGAAAAGACAAGGTCGACGCTAAGTTTGTACTCAGAATTTACAATATTTGCTGAAGGCTAGTGGCCAAGTCAAGGTGGAGTTTTTGGTAGAGATAATATGACAGTGCGAAGCTTGGATTATGCAAAAATGATCCAAAGAATTATGTTCGAGCTCATTCAAATCAAGCAGAAATAATTGTTCAGTGCTGCTTACAAAACTGACCTTATTCTTCCTTTTGCGCTAACAAGGCTTTCGATGGAATAGCAAACTGACAGAAGTGAATCTACATCTCGAAGGTGACAAGAGCAACATATTTTTTTGAATCACAATCAGCCTCAAATATTTGTCATTTTCCCGATAGCCTTCATTGTATTCAAAAGCAGTACGCACGGAAGCACTGCACAATAATGCTCGAACCCTCGGCAACATCAGGTGATGCCCACTCGTACAGATTGCAAGTGCGCGGCAATGTCGTCAAAGTGAAAGCGCCGAGCCATTTGCATTGGCGTTTCGTCATCGTACAGTGCTGCACGCGCTTCTACATCGGCTCCCGCTCGTAATAACTCCTCTACAAGATCCAGTCTATTTTTCTCCACTGCTTTGTGTAATGGAGTCATCGTTGTGCGAGAACAAACTGCGTTAACTTGAGCATTGCTTGCTTTATCAAGCGCTCTTTTCAAACGATGTACACACTCTTTCTGCGTCATACTGTCACTTTTTTCGATGATTTGGTGCACATTAACCGTCTCCGTCCTAGCCACACTCTCCATCTCTTCATTCTCCACTTCCAAAAGGAACAACTCACGCGCAAAAGCTTTTCGATATCTTTCCAATAACACCTGTTCCTCAAAAGTATAAGCTCGATTAGGTATCACATCCAAATCTTCTTGCCGAGCGGACTGTATTGCTAACGCGTAGGTAATATCGTGTCCAACAAAATGTGCAAATTGTCCATCCTTTGGGTGGAATAAATTCGAATCCGTCACATCATAGCATCGCCCTTGAAATTTTATATAACGCCGGTTTCTTATCGTTTCTAGATTATAAGTTACTACCTTGCTCTCTGTCTTCGAACCGAATCCCAGCGGACATTTACCGCCGGTGCTTCGTCTGAATTCTGGCGACAAGAGCTCCGCTCTAAGCGACTCCCACTTTTCACCAACAAAACGGTCGCTTAGTTGGGCTATTACCTCAAAACGTGAATACAAGCGCACAAACCACTCCTGTACAAGCTTATACCGTCGCTTTTTCACTTCCTCTTCACCCTGAAATGCATCTAACGGCAACTCGCAATCCAAGTAGCTGTTCACTGCTTTCGCATCGTCCGCAGCGTCCGGCACGAGTCCTAACTGCAAAATCAGCATCGTGACGTCATGACCTATCCAATGGCTGTAAATTCCATCGCACTTAAAGTCAAAAAACGGATCTCCAGTCACATCAAACGCCGTCCCGCACAGTGCCACCCAACAGCCTGACTGTTGCAGCTGTGAGAGTCGTACACGAGGCGCCGCGTCTAGTCTTGCAGCTGCTAAGCTCTTTGGACGACGACGATTAAATAATTTGTTACAATATAAGCCGCACACCGCGAGTATAGTGCCTAAAGCTAGCGACAGCACCAAACGCTCCGAGCTCATCATTCTTATCATTATAAGAAGGAAAGCTTTGTTTCGAATTTGTCATATTTGAGACGTTTTAGACAATTTGACATGCATTTCTAAAATCTGCTGCTGAAGAGCCTTAAGTTCACTTTGAACTTCTTGCAGAGCACGCGTTAAGTGCGGAATGATACCCACATAGTTAAGTGACTTCCAGCCATCGACATCCTCTGTCACCAAACCTGGCAGGACTTGCTCTACTTCGTCTGCAAGAAATCCTGGGAATGTCCCATCAGGAAAATTGCGGGATGGAAATTTGTCTCGTCGCCATTCATATGTCACCTGATGTTCGCGGAGCGAGGAGTAAGTTTGGAGTGGAGGATGTTAGACAGCAGAGAGAAGAAAACGTACCGGGCGTAGCTGATTGATGATCATTTGTGACGATGTGAGATCTTGTATCGTTGTTTTTAAGCGTCCATCAGAGGGTGTGGTGACAACTGTGCCAAATATAGTACCACCACAGCGGAGGTCGAGCCCAATCCCGACGCCGCCAGTTACTACTAAAGCACCAGTATTGGTCGCTCCTGATTGAGTATTACTTGATATAAGTACGTTTCCTGCCGCTACGTTCACACCAGTGTCCACGACAGTCACGCCACCCTGCACACTAAGTCCTCCAGATGCTATTGTCGTTGCACCGCCTGCTGTCACTGTGAACTGAGATGTACCATCTACCATGGCATCGATGAGGGCAAAGCCACTAGTTGCGGTTGAGTCCATGGAAAGTATCGCTTTATTAAAGACGCTGGCGGAATTTTTCAGCAACAACGTGCTAGTCGTAGTACCGGTATCAGTAATGCTAGCACCTCCATCAGTCACAATCAGCCCGGTGTTGGTGATAGTAACTCCGCCAGTGACACTTAGACCACCACCGTCGATCGTGGTTAATCCTGATGCTGCCACAGAAAACTTGGGCGATCCACCAGCTACAGCTGCACTAATAAGAAAAAAACCAGACGTTAAAAAATCAGTGTCCAGGCGCAAAAGTGCGTCTGAATAAACTCCTGAAGTTGCAGTATTTATAACTGTAAGCGTGTCGGCGGCCGTGCCAGTGTCATAAATTCTTGCTCCGCCAGTGGTGACAGTGATGCCAGTGTCTACTACAGTAATGCCTCCGGTGATACTAGCTCCACCGCCAGAGACCGTAAGTCCAGTGTTCGACACGG